AGCAGCAGAGCATTCAAACATTAAAACCTCACACACACACACACACACACACACACACACACACACACACACACACACACACACACACACAGGGATAATGTAAGGGATTATACATTTTGCAACACTGTAAAATGTTGAAGACAGTTTTGAAATCCCTCCAGGTTTGTGCTGTAGCTGGAGGGAGAGGTTTTATGCAACATTTAAGTCTTTACGAACTTTTTTAATTATGATTTAGTTTGCTGTCTGCAACTTCTCTTATATGCATGTCTGTGTGTGTGGGTGTGTGTGAACGGGCAACGAGAATCACCTTTTGTTTTAATTGAGATATACAAAAGCGTTTTTGATGAATGCCAAATCAGCTTAGACGGAGCAACTTTCCAGCTCTACATGACGTTCAGTAAAACATCTTTTAAACGCTCTAAAATAAACAGTTTGTAACCCTTCTAAGAGTCCCTGTAATCCACAGACTGATCAGGGAAATAGCACAGTCTGGACCGAGCTCTGTGGGCCAGCTGCAGTGTGTGTGTGAGCCTGTGTGTTGAAGTCATTCACTTTGAAAGATAAAAAGAGATGAAAGTCAAAGCAGAGAGAGAACAGACTGTGAGGCAGAGATGAAAGTGCACAAATTGCTGCGTTGTGAACATCGGAATTTGTCTGGATTGCCTTGGCAATAAATGGACCTCAGGTTATCCTCTACTCATGGTAGTTGTCAAAATCGCAGTTATAGTTGATAGTTTCCTCTCTGACACACAGACAGAGTGGTGTTAATACTTTATTCATCTGTTTACAGTGGTTCTACGTCACTACAGCTTTTAACATCTGCCCCCCTTTTCTTTAAACTGTATTTATTTATTTGCACTGTCCGTCTTAATTTGACATAAGAGGTCGATGGTATGATGTTCCCTCCTCCTCAAAAATCTTCCCACTTCATTTGTGTGGATGCATATTCTGGTATCGGTTCACTCTCCTTGCATCAGCAGCATTTGTGCCCACTAGAGTTCGAGCGATTTTGATCAGAGAAAGTGTTTTGTGTGTGTGTTCATTTTACTGTCAGTGCTGATGCTTTCTCTTTAATAGCTGCTGTGCTCAGTGGGATTGCTGTTTCCCAATATCGATCAACTTTATGGGCATGGACTCCACATAAGTTAACGTCCCATTCGACAGTTTTGACAGTCTCAATAACCAATAACAACATGCTCTTCTCTCCACCTCTGTGTTTAACAGAAACTGGACACATAGACCCAGTCTTCGAGCGGTACAACACCCCGGGTTTCGTCGGGTGTCTCTCGAGGGTTCAGTTTAACGGCGTCGCGCCGCTGAAGTCTGCTCTGAGAACCGTCTCACAGCCCACAGCCGGTCAGACAGACAGGCCGCCTGCAGCCGCCTCACACGTCTCCTACCAGGGGAAACTGCTGGAGTCCAACTGTGGGTCGTCTCCTCTCACCATCCCACCAATGTCTGCCGCCACTGACCCCTGGCATCTGGACAACACAGGTGAGGAGCGCTCCACATAGAGGGGTTGTATGAGGCATTTATCCATACTCAGTGTATACCCTACAGTATATGGCTGCAGGCAACAATATCAGTGTTAGTGTATAACATATTTAAAACGTTTTTACTACTACAATTGATATTGATTTTTTTTTTTTTTTTTAATTAGGACCTCATACCTCATCTAAAATTTTCCAAACCATCCCTTTAATATGCTGCTGTCAGTCCATGAGAAGTAATGCAGTAATGAGTAATAACTTCCTTCAGTAATATCACACACACAGACCTCAGATCTGCTGTGTCTGCGTCGCACAGCAGCGTTTGGTGTTTCTCAGAGTCATTATTCAGGATGCAGCCACATTATTTAGACTTGAAGCCAACTGTGCCTTAGGGAGCGCTGAGCCATCTGAGATCCATCCAGGTTTATTGATCAGGTCCAAATGCACAGTCAGCTCAGAGAGGATGGTATTTATTTTTGCTTTAAAACCAATTATAGATCTGATCTATAATTTATCCAGCTCTCCGTCAATGCACCATGATCAAGTTTTTTTACAGTTCCCATCCTCCTAACTTTCTGTTTTTCCATTTTAGTTTTTACTTCTCCTGTTTGTGTCTCATCTTTTCAAACACAATCAATTCTTGACATTATATCCAAACACTCAGATAAATGACTTTCTCTCCCCTCTGTTGCTTTCCGTTTTCCCCGCTTCCTCTCTTCTCAGTCTCCTCTTCTCCATCTCACTCATGCTCTCCACCTCCCTGGAGATCTAAACACTCAACATTGCTGGTTGTCGTGTGCAATTAGGCTTGATTCATCATGTCTGCAGCTCTATCCAAGCTAGTTTTGGCGTGATCCTAAATAGAATTTTACAGGCAAAATTGACAAATTTACGAAACTGTCATTTTAGATGTCAATGATATCTTCGTTCTCATTTACCACCCACCATCTCCACCTGTCATCTCTCTCTCCGCTTATCTTCCTGCCCTGTGACTCAGGGAGAATCACAGCAATTGGATGTGTTAGTTGTAGTGGGCAGGCAGAAGCAGCAGCTGTTATTAACCTCTTAACCTGTCATGGATCTGTAAGGAAAGACATTAAATCAACTCCACCAGTCATCCCCTAAGGATGCTCTGTATCCATTCTGTTGATAGTGATTTATGTAATGAGTGAAGCTGAAGCCAATAAACTGAGCACTGTGGCTTTTTGCTTTGAAAACGGAAACTTGTGTAGTTTAAATTCAGCACAACTCAGAGCAAAGGCCACTTTTTATGTCTTGTTGCTTGTAGCATGAATTTAATTGTGTGAATATATGGTTTGAATTGTTCCTCTTTGTTGCTGTCCTCAGATGCAGAGTTCCCCTTCAACGAGGAGAGAGTGATTCCTGATGGAGTCAACCGAGACTCGGCCATCATCGGAGGTAAAGAAAGTCACTTTTAAAAGCTTTGTCAGATCTGTGTTTGGGGTTGTACTATTGTATATAAAAATATATTTCAAATTTTCAACCTACAGAATGACATTCCCATACAAATAAACTGCATTAGCATTGAGGCAAAACCAATCAAAGATGCTATGAAATGACTTGGTTTTATTTAGGCGTTAAAGTTATTGTAAGAAATTAAGTAGATGTTCCCCTCGAGACGCAATCACCGGCAAACGACCTCCTGACTAACGGTCTGTGTTTCCATTCACTTCTGCGGATAAGAAACATATTTATGATACCTCAAAAAGAAATGTAATCCAGAAGAAAATACAAATCCCCTTTAAAACGTTATTGACGGTTTATATTTTATTACAAAATACTTTTAAGGACACCAGGCTGCATATTGAGAAGCTTGAACAAGTTTGATATTTTCTGGTAATTCAATTATTCAGCAGTGTTTTTCAGATCTGATCCAGAGATGGTGGGTTGATAGAAACAAAGCGGTAGCAGGGAATTAAAAAACCAGAGGAGGGAAGTAGTGGAGTACAAATACTTTGTTACTGTACTTAAGTACATTTCTCTGGTATCAGTACTTTACTGACTCTTACTTTGACTTCTTACATGTTGAACACAAATACCTGAACTTTCTACTTCTTACATGTTGAACACAAATACCTGTACTTTCTACTTCTTACATGTTGAACACAAATACCTGTACTTTCTACTTCTCACATTTTCCAAACAGGCTGGTTCCTTTAGTTTGAATGTGTGTTTGGTGGCGTGATCATTATTATTTAGAGTCATTGCGTGCCTATTGATTTGAACACGATCCGTGTATCCATCATTTCCTGCTCTTCTCTAAAGAAGAGGGACCAATGAAAACGTTGTCATGTTGCCGTTGTTCAGCATGGAAACATTCATTAGCTAACAATGACATTATTGTTCTATTAATATAAAGGGAGGTCAGGTACTCTTTAAAACAGCTGCTAGTTATGGGTACTTTTTACTGAAGTACATTTCAAAGCCTCTTTACTTTGACTTGAGTAAA